GGAAGCACAGGCCTACCAGCCATACTGCACCCCTGAGAGCCCACCAGATGCCTGCGGGGCTCCCCTGGCAAGGGCGGCTCCAGCCCAGCATGGCCACACCACTCCCCACGGCGGCGGCGGGAGGAGGGGGAGGAGGGACACGTGCACCCCAAACATACTCAGGCAGAGGAGCTGAGCCAACATGCAGATGAGTGCGCAATGCATACTTTGACAGCACGACAGGGTTTTCACTCCTCTGTGTCCTCTCCCGTGGCGCAAGAGGAATTCTGGAGGAGTAAGTCATAGCTGCTCCGGAGCGCTGGCTGCAATGCAGCTCTTCCACATACCTGCTGCCTCGCATTCCCTCTCTATGCTTTAAACCTCTACATTTTTAGGATCTTATTCCCCGTCGTTGTTGGCCCCAGTGACAATATGGTGGGCAGACACTGAGCGAAGCCCTTCCCTGGGATGCCCTGACCATCAGCTGCTGCTCTTCTCCTCCTCCTTTGCCAACGAACTCACAAATCAGCATTGCAGCTGCTCAAATCAGAAATAGGGGGCCAAATTATCCCAGACAGCCATCCATTGCTTTCAGTGCAAAATGTCATGTACTTACATACTTAAAAAAAAATCTAACAAGTTCCTTTACCTTAATTCACTACAAGAAGGTAACTCTCCAGCATATTTCTGAGACACCATGGCAGAGAAAGGCAATTAAAAAAAAAGAAACAACCCCTTAGCACTCACTTGCAGTGTGGGTCTTCTTTCAAACAAGAAATTTATGAGCAAGAAGGACTGAAAAAAAGTCTTATATATCTGGACTACCACAGAATCCCAGTACAATGACTTTGCAGCAATTTGGTCTTTAGTCTTTATCTGTTTTCTTTCCTTTTCCCTTTCTAGCCTCTTCACTCTTGAGTACCACAGCTAGTTCTCCCTCACTCCTGCAAAAAAAGAAAGTACCAGTAGGTCTGCCACAGCAACGAAAAAATCTCAAAAGTCTCCAGCATGGTGCTGATACCATGATTATTCTTAAATTTATATAGAACTCCCCCTTTTGTCTCTACAGCTGACAGTAGGGCAACACACACGCATAAAAGCACAGGTAAGAACTAAAGAAATTGTGAAGAAGATGGACAATTCCTAAAATAGAACAAAACACACAGGTACACTATAGAAGCGAAACAAAACAAAAGCTGCTTTTTCTTTGACTCTCTAGCTTAAAGATGTTACATTTTGAAAATGAACAGTGCAGAGGGATCACAGAATTATAGAGTAACTCGGGCTGGAGAGGGGCGCTCCAGGTCTCTATTCCAACCTTCTGCTGGGGTTGCGCAGGGCTTTGGCCAGTCAAGGTCAGAGGCTCTCCACGGATGAAGCATCCACTTGCACGGGAAACATTTATTTCCAGATATACAGTTGGCATTTCCCCTGCTGCAACTGTGCACCTCTGCAAGAGTCTGTCTCTTTCTTTGCTATAACCTCCCATTAAGTAGTTGAAAATAGCAACGAGATTCCCCATTAGCCTGCTCTTCTCCAAACTAATGAAACCCAGCTTCCTCAGCCCCTCCTCATATATCATGTGCTCCAGCCACTAAGCGTGTACCACTTCTAATGGAGCACTAGTGTGTTTGTATACTAACAATAAGTATTATTTAATGAAATTAAATACTCTTGTGTAAGAAGAATTACTTTAAAAATAAGAAATTTTAATAGAGCAAAATATGGCCAGGTTAATAATTTTGCTCTGGATCCCAGAACATTAATTTAGCATGAATAAATAACTCCCAGCCTTTCATCTTATCTTTCTGACAGATGTTTCCCTATATAAAGGGTGGCATAATTGTTTTTGTCAGTGTTATAATTAAAATTGCTATGCAGCTGACATACAGTTTTTAATGGTTTCCCTTAGGATTATAACAGATGTTACCTTATTAGATCAGGTCTCTCCTGAAGTAAGAAATGTCATTGGCATAATCAAGACACTTCTTTCAGTCTCTTGAAGTAGACTGTCACAATTTGCCCGGTAACATTTGACCCTAAGGAATGAAATACATCCCATATTTCTAAGGAGAAAGTTTTCTGAAGAGTTTGAAAGAAATACTAGAGAATCTTACTTCGGGCTAACAAGTTGTACGGTCCAGCTTTAGCTGCAGCCAGAAATAGCTGGAAAATATAGAAGGAGGGAGCCCTGACGACTGCACCACCGACAGCCAAAGAAACTATGGCTTTTTAATGGTAAAAATAATCACAGCTTAGGCACATGGTAAAGGGTCAGTTGAAATCTGGTGAGGAACTGAGAAGTAGCAGTTATTGGGCTCCTATTACAAGAAAAGTTACAACCGTATGACACAAGCGTTAATTTGAAATGGGAGTTAGTTTAAATAAAGCAAGGTGTAATAGTAAGCTTAAAGAACAGCTTTTTAAGTGCAATTTAGGTCCCTGGTGTTCACCGAAAATCTAGAGAAGTCGAGGGTGGAAGCAACAAGAAACTGTGGCTCCAGCTTGTGTTCTCCTTACAGCTCAGTGATTTACTGCTACTGAGGGCTGCATCTTGTAACCTGTGAGGCGGGTGCTGCGGGACGCAGGCTGCCGTGCAGGTCCCCTGGGCACCCACAGCAGGACAGCTGCCGGACGGGCACACCGTGGCTGCTTCCCGACCGGAGCACGCAGCGTGATAGCCGGCACACAGACAGGTCTCAAACCAAGACACCGTCAGGACACCGCTCCAACAGGCAGCCAGGCTGGGGAGCTGGGAAGCTCCCGCGGATCCCCCCAGCTGGGTGCACCCAAAGTGTTTAACACCACATAAGAGAAGTCAGTGGTAGGTAGTGTGGCAAGAGAGTCAGGAAAGTTAGGTGGCTCCAACGAGGGCTAAGCAGAGTAAGAAAAGCAACCCATGCCTCCTGTCTGCCTGTCCACCGAGTCTCTTCAACCCCTCAGGGCGAACTCACTTTGGTAAAATAAATCTAACAGAAAGTTACTTTATATTTTGGTGGCATAGAGCTTGCCACTTTCCAAGGGCTACCAAACTTTTTCAAGGTCTGAGGAACGCCAACTCTGTTTTAGTGACTGTGGCATTTGGATCTGCAATTGACAAGACGAAACTGTCGGTACAGCTTTCACATTGCATCTGGTTTATATTAAGAACTCCCCAAAATAATTGTAGAAGATTCAACATGACATAACTGCTGAATTTCCACAGTAGCAAGTGTCATAGTTTACTTGTGAAAATAAACTATTTATACAGACACTTGAATTTTGTGGGTTAATTCTCCTAATCTTATCTATCTCGAGGACAGGGATTAATTAAAAATAAGCATGGAAAACGTCCAGCATGAATTATCTCCTGTATAGCCAGGGGAAAGAAAAAAAAAAAATCTGTCTCTCTGATCGAGCTCAAACCATCTTTCCGTCTCCCCGGGCCCAGCAGCACCGGGCAGGGAGGAGGCGTCGGGGCCGGGGAAGGGCCCGGCCGCGGGGCAGCCCCGAGAGAGGCCGGGCCGGGGCCCCCGCCCCCCGCCGCG